AAAAAAAAAAAAAGTGTATCCTACACTAAATGATAAAAATATAGTCAAGGTAAAAAGTATATATATCATTGCACTGTTTTCCTAGATTCCAATAAAACAAATAGGAGATACAAAAAGTAAGCAGACTGTCTTATCCTGCTTCTGATTCCAGACCTATTTCTATTTTGAAATATATTTTTAATGTACTTTATCCATGGAGGTAAAAAGTCTAGTCCAGCAAGTAAAACTGGATATTCTCCTATTGGCTAGATTTTCTAGAGCAAAAGCAAGAAGGACCAACAAAACAGTTCTTAGGAACTAAGCTTTAGCTTTTGTTTTAACCAAATTCAGGTTTTTGTGATTCCCAAGGGTCACAGTGCATCACATACCTTTTCACTGCAGGTCTAGGTAAAAAGTGCTACAGTGAATGCATCTGGAGTACAAAAGGTTAACTTCTCTCCTTCCATGTAGTCATTTACTTAAGAAACAGTCTGTATAAGATACTATGTAAACTAAGTTCAGGGAGCGGAGCATTTAATAAATGATTTAAGAAATTAAAAGGCATTTTAAAAACCACTTAGTTACAAAGCCTTCATTTTACAAATGCAGAACTAAGACACCAGAATAGCTAAAATGTCTCTAAATAATACCTTTATTTCTTTACCCAGTTTTATTTTCTTCATAGCACTTAACACTATATGAACTTATATACGTATGTTCATATGTAGGTACGTATGTATTTTCTCATTCCTCTTATTAAAATATAAGCAACCTGAAAGTAGGCATCTTTAATTTTCATTCATTGCCCTACTTTAATTCTTAGAAAAGTGCCTAGCACAAAGTAGGTACTTAATCAATAACTGTTAAATGAATAAATAAAACTATAGAAAAATGAGAAAAACATATTGAAATATTACACTGAGACTCATGAGAGTCTAGAATTGGTGTAGCCTTTTACTCCAGAAAATGATCACATTTGAGTTGTATGAAGTACTGGAACCCAGTTACCAAGGAAAAGGTGAGTTGGTATGAAGTAAACAATTCTTTAAACAGAAGATAACAAATTAACTTATTCAGGCATACAGGATATAAAAGCAGACTAGTGTTGCCAAAATAGATACTTATTTTCTTCCCAAATCAAAGTCTAGGAAATGTATGTCTTCAATTCATACCATGTATTAGAATACTAACTAAAAACTTCATTCAAGCTAGAACTGATTTGTTACATACCTATTAATAAGAAAATTCATACTAAAACCTCAGATATACTAAAAAAAATTCAGCAGCATGCATCTTACCTATGAAGGATGACTCATAAAAATTCCACCTGAAGTTTTTATATGAATACTAATTGATTTTAATAAAAAGAGTTCTTCTATTACTTCAGTTTATTTTGTAGCAAACACACTAGTAATGAGTATTAAGTCATTAACACTGGGAAAAGTTGGTCTAAATAAAGATAAGCAATATAATTAACCATCTCCTTGCCTTTCCTCTTCATCTTTAGAAACCAGTTTATTATAAGCAAATAAAAATAAGTGAAGCTATTAGACAAAGAAACATAAGCAGCAAGGTTCTTAGTGTCCCATGTTTTAAAAATATTTCTTCACTCTAATCATGTCCATTCATTTAGTCAAAAAATTTTACTCAACACCCATTATAACATCCCAAGCTCCTTGCTAGGGATTAGAAGAAAGAAGTTACCAGAAATATTTAAATTTGAAGGGATAAAAACTGAAAAATATCTCTTGGACTTCCAGTAAATCTGAAATATTACAAAATTTTTCAAAAAGATGTTTCAACTTACATTTTGTTCCTCTGGTTCTAATTTGGGGATTTTGTGTGACTTGCGCTCTTCAGATCTAGATGAGTCATGCTTGTTGCTTTTTTTCCTCTTTTCTTTTCTGCTTTCATGCTTTGATTTTGTGTGCTCACTTGCCTGTACTTCATTTAAAAGGTCTCCACAAAGGGAAGACTCAAACAATTCCCTGCCATTCTGGATAGTTTTGGTTATTTTTAGTTTAATTTCAGGTGAGCCAGTCTTCTTTGGAATCACAGTTTGTGGTACCGAAGGAGGAGGTGGTGGCTGTGGAGGAGAAGGTTTTTCCAGAATTTCATGTGGTCTTGTGTTTGGAATTTCTGAATGGTAATAGTCAGTGGGGCTAAAGTTTCTAACTGCACCAAAGCCATTGGCTGATCCATTGGGATACTGATTATATGACTGGTATTTGGTTTGAGTTTCATACATGCTGATTGATGGTGGATAGCCATTTGTGAGTGGAGGAAGATCTTCTGTTGTAGGTGGGTACTGAAATCCTTGCTGCAAGGTAGCTTCATATGGTGTCTGGCCACCATCTTCAACAATGTCACTGTTGTTATCAAAGGCATCCTCCTGACGGATGTTGGCGGAGTCAATGAGTTGAGGTGGTTGCTGAATTGTGTTTCCCATGATCCCTTGCATGAAAGAGAAAGAGAAATCCATTGTTCTGCTCCAGCATCCTTAACTTTCCCTTTCTCTCATCGGGCCTAAAGTTTTAAAAGAGGAGATTAAAAAGTGTTAATATCCTCACAGGCTAGAGGCTTATCAATTGAAAAAGAATTTACTAAAATATCCTGTACTCAGTTTTCATATCCAGATATACACAAACACTAAATATTTTTAAAACAGGCAGCCAATATAAATCTGATACAAGTCAAATGCTTTTTACCTTAAATACTTATCTATTTGAAACTCTCAATTACTTTCACAGTTTTAGTAACAAAATTTTATCCTCTTAGCAAACATTCAGAATAGTTTTGCATTCCTTTCTGTTTCCCAAGTTAGGAATGGTAAGTCTCAGGTTAAAACTGGTATTTGCAAAGTAAGCAATGTTCTGACACATATAAATTAGGTTCCATACAAGCTTCTTTTAAATCACTCATGTTTTGTCCAGTGGGGCTCTTTGTTGTTACAAAAAATAACAAAATCTTATTGCAAATATTTTAAATACAAAAGTAAAAAGGCCTATTACTCCTCCCTCTCCATCATTCCCATTCTTCTGTCATGGATAACCGCTGTAAATACTTTGGTGAGTATTCTTCCAAATCTTTATATAGTTACATACAAAATTTTGAAAATAGGGTTGATTCTGTGACTTGCTTATTCAACTTAACAATATATCCTAGATATCTTTCTACATCAGCATGTATAATTTTCATATATACTTTTTTAAATAGTTACACAGTAAACACCTATGGTATCTATACCACAATGTACTTAACCATTTGTGTACTGAGAATCATTTAGCTGCTCACAATTGTTTGAAATTATAAATAGGTCTACAGGAAACTTTCTTGAAACTAGCTCTTTGGGCATGTATGTATTCCTATTGGAAAGATTTGAAATTTTAATAGATATAGCACAGCCTGTAGAACAGTTTTGCAGTGTCAATTTACCATCATACCAGTAGTGAGGGTGCCTGATTCTCTATAGTCTTGATAGTATTAGTTGTTTTTAACCAGCAGCATAAATATAATGATCTGGGGTAGTTTTACGAAATGTACATGTCAATCAATGTCTATCTACTGATGAATCTGATTCGATAAATCTGTGGTAAGGCCTAGAGTCTCAATATTTTAAGATCACACTCCAGCCGATTCTGATGCACCCTCTTAGTTGGCTCATTGCATTACAATCTTTGCATTGTAGTTACTGCATTATACTCTTACGATTACTGCACCCCCTCTAGAAGGTGCCTAAAGATGTTCACATTATGTAACAATGTTGTAATATAGATAACCATGTATTATGAAATGCTCTAAGACCACTCTGTGTTGTCATAAAGTTTGACAAGCCCACATCTTGAGACAGGATTAATGGACAGTTCAGATATTATCTTGATTATCTCATAAACATTTCTTCTAGAAAGCTCTAAGGCAGAGAGGATTTCTCTACTGCATTGAATCTGATGAACTGATTTTAGCTGCCTGGAATACTGTGAAGAAGGACTATGAGGCTACAGTCCAGTTTGATTCTATGACCAATTAATAACGCCTACGATCTTGATTCTAGTAGGAATTACCATAATGATAAAGCACATAACCCCAAACAGCAAACAGAAGAGGGAAATGATTGCTGATAATACACTTTTCAAGGCATATCTGATTAAACAGCTGCTGTTTAAACTGTTAGCAAATGGAAAGAATTTTAGAAGTTCTAAAATTGCAAACAAATGAATACAAGAGCATACAGGAAATCAAACTGCCCATATCGCTCTATAGTGAGATGGGGTGCAGGGAAGTGTTAGACAGCACTCTCATTTTTTAGCATCTACTCTGGGCCAAGCACTTTATACATTATCTCATTTAATCCTCATAACAACTTTGCAGGATAGGCATGGTGACTCCTGGTTCATAGGGAAAAGAAACTGAGCTTCAGAGAGGTTAGATGCCTTGCTTTAAACCATAAAGCAAAGGGGGCAGAATAACTATTTGTATCTAAGTGTGTCTGACTCTACACCCCAAGATTTTTACCATGCTACGACTTCCACTTCACTCAGCCATAACTTCTGAGAGGATGTGATTCTTTTGTTCATGCTCTTTATTCCCGATCACTGCCAAAATGACAACTAACTATTCTATAGTAACAGCCACTAACACTTAAATAGCGCTTAGTATGTACTAGGAACCATTCTAAGTGCTTTATATACAGTACATTCAATCCTCCCAACAACCTTCAGGTAGATGTTAACCTTAGTTCTCATTACAGACTGGGAAATAGAGGCACACTGAGGTTAAATGACTTGCTCAGGTGCACAAGGCTAGTCATTAATTGACAGAGCTGGGATTTGATCGAGGCAGTTTGGTTTCAGAGTCAATGATGCGAATAACCAGCGTAACATACTGGTAATGCTGATAAATGTTAGGAATCACTTCTTTATGCATAGCTGAAGAACTGAAACATTACCCTAATTTGACCCTTGGCAAAAATGTATAGCTTACAAAGAATGGTATGTTCTAAAATTCTGTAAACACACGGGGCCAATAAACAGGTGGAATTCAAAAGTTCTTCAAACTTCCAACTTGAAGACAAGTTAAATACTGACATTTGACAAGATGCAACCTGTGTTTTTGGTTCTCATAACTGTCATATACAAGATCAGCTTCCAGATTAGTCTCCCAGATTATAGTCTACAGAGGTTTTCAGGCATATGTATTCAGAGACTAAGGTTTTTGATGTTTCTGATTTAGTTCCAAACATGAACTTTTTTTTTTAAAGATTTTATTTATTTATTTGAGAGAGAGAGAATGAGAGACAGAGAGCACGAGAGGGAAGAGGGCAGAGGGAGAAGCAGACCCCCTGCTGAGCAGGGAGCCCGATGCGGGACTCGATCCCGGGACTCCAGGATCATGACCTGAGTCGAAGGCAGTCGCTTAACCAACTGAGCCACCCAGGCGCCCCAAACATGAACTTTTAAGAAGTTTGGTACTTCCCCCCTTTTCTCCTCTAGCCCTAGAACTAAATATTTCGTTTTAGTTTGAACTAAGGAAATAACATTACATCTTACAATTATATAGGAGTTTACAATTACACGCAAGTATTTTCACATGCGTTCTTATTTGATCCTCAAAACAATCCTGTAAGGCTGACAGGACAGGTGTTAGCTTCATTTTTCAGATGACTACATTTAATATTTGAGATGCTAAGTTTTCCAAGACCAAAAAGCTCATTAGTGATTAACATGAAAAAGAATCAACCTCTTACCTTCTGATCCTGCTCTCTTTACCACAATATCTAACTGCCACAGAATATCCAGCTACCCAAAGACAATCATACTATAAGAGTCATATGTTCAAAACTGAATGAACTGTCTTTGCCCTAGCTCAGTTTTCCTTTCAGACTACCCCAGATTTGTCATTGCTTCCACTATTTTTCTAGCTTCCCAAGCTAGAAGCCTCAGTCGTGTGGGTGGCTGATTCTCCCCTCTCTATGAAGCCACAAAATGAGGCACTGAACAAATCTTGGAGTTTCTTCCACTGAATTTTCTGATTTGTTCTTTGATCCATGTCAGGCCAAGCCCTCAGCACCTTAATCCTGAACTACGACAACTGATTTTCTAGATATTTCTCATCTTTAACTTCTTCCTGCATAGCAGTTAGAAGATGTGTCCTTAAACTGAACTTTGATAAGTCTACTCCCATTCTAAGAAACTCTAAAGCTCCATATTATACCAAGTCCCTTCCATGCCTTTCAAGGTCTTCCATAATCTGACTTTCCTACTCAACTCAAATTGTATATGCATGAATAAACTTTTCTGAGCATCCACGGGCCCAAATAACTATAAAGTGTGGCCTTGCTCACATATTACCCTTTGTTTAATCCAATGAAGCAAAGTTTTATTCCCATTTTACAGATGTGAAGAAATGGCCCTCAAAAAGATCAAGTGATTTGCCCTTAATCACATAGCCAACAGAAGTTGAAAAAAATGGTGAAACTCAGATCTTCTAACTCAATACAATACTCTACTCGGCAGCTGCCACCTCTTCTGCAAATTATCCATACTCTGCACTTCTTTCCAATATGCTCCATAGCCACAATCCAAACGCATGTCTGACAGCTTCCCTTGTATCTCACAAGCATCTTAAAATACCTAATAATGAACTTAGTTTTTATTCTACTTCCATGTGTCCTTCCTCCAGTCCTTCCTATGAGAAAAAAAAAGAAATCTCCATCTATCAGTTGCCAAAGCCAGATATCTGAGACCCTGATACATCCCTTACCCTCACTCCTACTCTTCCCCAATGTATCAGTAAACTCTTGGAGTTTTATCTCCAAAGTATACATCTCATATTTGTCTATTTCATTCCATATCTTTTCTTCTTCATGCTAGTCCAATCTCCTCACTTAATCTATTCCATAGCTACCTTCTCAGTCTTCATGCTTCTTCTCCTGCCTATGATCTATTTTCCCATATAACAGCCAGTCCCCTTTTAAAAACTAACCCAATCATTTGACTACCCCTCAAAATACAGCAAGAAAAAGGAATTATTGGGCATGTACTGCATGGAGCACTGGGTGTTATACGAAAACAATGGATCATGGATCACCACATCAAAAACTAATGATGTATTGTATGGTGACTAACATAATAAAATTTAAAAAAAAAAGTATCTTAGGATTTCTCTTCCATAGGAGATCCACAGGACAAGAGGGGGCTCCTGGATCTTTTGAGACTGAGAAACATGGTGAGACCATGTTTTATCTGCATATTACTTCCTTCTAGATTTGGGATTCCTGATGCAGAAGTTCCAAGCAGTTCAATCCCTCCTTAGCTGATTTTTGGGTACCCCCTCATGCCTATTCTCATTTAAACTTAATTTTCATTTAAATATAAATTTGAAAAATGAAGCTGAACACACTTTTGGCTCCAGTTTCTATTCAGAAAGTCTGAATCCTTCTGGAGGTCAGTACAGATAGATGCCCTAGAGCAGCAATTTTTGAGATTTTTCCACCATCCTTTTCTGGGACTCAGCTGGGAGGAGAAGAA